TGTTGTAGATGTACCAAAGTTTCTTTAACCTGTCATCTGTCCTCGGGCACTGGGGTTGTTTCCAGATTCTTGCTATTGTAAACAGTGCTGCAATGAACATACATGTGCAGATGTCATTTCTACTATGCTTTTATTGTACCCCCGGATATATTCCAAGAAGTGGTATTGCTGGAAGCTCAATTTCCATTTTTTTAAGGAATGACCATATTGTTTACCAAAAAGGCTGGACCAGTTGGCATTCCCACCAATAATTAAAGAAAGTCCCTTTCTCCCCATAGCGCTGGTTGTTCTTGTTCTTTTTGGTTGTGCCAGTCTCTATGGTGTATGATGTTATCTCATTGTTATTTTGATTTGCATCTCCCTAATGATGGGCTGGAGCGATAGCACAGCGGCAGGGCGTTTGCCTTGCATGCAGCCAACATGGCCGACCCGAGTTCGATTCCTCCGCCCCTATCAGAGAGCCCGGCAAGCTACCGAGAGTATCTCGCCCGCACGGCAGAGCCTGGCAAGCTCCCCGTGACGTATTCGATATGCCAAACACAGTAACAACAAAGTCTCCAATGGAGACGTTACTGGGCCCGCTCGAGCAAATCGATGATCAACGGGAGGGCCTCCCTAATGATTAGTGATGTCATACTCCTTTTTTAAAAAAAAAAGATACTCTATGGTTTAAAATACTATTAATAATGGTTTCTCGTGCAAATAATTCCAGCACCACACCCATCACTAGTGTACCCATCTCCCTCCCCCAAGGACTCTAATACTTCTCCTTTTATTTGCCCACCCCCAACTCAATTGTGTGAGTTCAGTTCTCTTATTACATTGCCTTTGGACCTTATTTCGCTTCTTACATTCCTTTTCTTGACATTCCAACCTACTTTATCTTGGACACAATTTCATATATTGAGCTTTCATATATTTTTTGGAGACAATCAAGCCTGGTGTGGAGCCTTGGTGGTGGACCTGAGGATAGGGTGCCTGTTTCCCTTGTGTGCAGGGTGGTGGTGGTATGGAGAGGCATCTTGCAAAGTGGCACAAGGTGCCAAGGGACAACATTCGAAACTGATGAAGTCATACCCGAGGGAGGCTTAACAAAAACATGTGTTAAGGTGATCTTGTGTTAAGTGTGGACCTCTGGGACATATTAGGGACTGAATGGTGCTAGACACCCTAACTCTAAAACGTGTCATAGAGACTGTTTTGAGCTACAGTCTTCCATGAACCAGCAGGCCCAGCAAAAACTCTAAAAACAGGACATAGTTTCTCTGCTGGTAAAGGTGAAGCCAGAAATTAGAGGCAGAAGTGGGAAAGCAGAGGCAGGACTTCTGAGTGACCCATTCTAGAAGCTGAGCAGAGAAGAATAGACTGTAAATCACAAAGGTGCACCAAGAACCAAGCAGGAAAGCTGGAGTTTAGTCAGGTTGCTTGATGGGAACAGAACAGGGTCACAGAAACAATATGGAACTTGAAACACATTGCATTCTCCACTGATGATACCTTCTCTGCATAGGTTAGCAAGCATGGCATATGTTCCATGAAAAACGTTTCCCTAGAACGGTATCGAGCTTATAAAACCTCCTTGTGAAGTGCGTCCAAGGTTTGACCCCTCTGTGGTGATAGCCAGGACGAGTCTGCATACAGAACAAAACTGGCTTGCCTCTCTCCTACTTCTCCGGACCGCCTGTTTCTTGGTCATATTTCTATAACAAAGAAATTAGAATTTATTGGAAAGGGCATTTCCATTTGTAGAGATTGTCTCCTTATATCCTGCTGGGCGAGGAGCGCTCTGATCAGGTCTCAGGAGAAAGCCCTGCCTAACTCCACTTAGCTAAGCTTCTGCCCCAACCTTTCCTGGTCATCTTTTCTCCCCTCATTGCCTCTCTCTCCCAGAATCTTCTTTTACTTTAGCCTGTGTAAGACTAGGGTCCAAATTTCCCTTTTGATCACTCTTTTCTGGGTGTGAGAAGAACAAGTTAGTGCCGGTGGTGGTGGTGAGTGTCTTTTTGTTTGTTTTCCCCTACAAGACATCTCCCAGAAAAGCATGCTGAAAGTAGACTATAGACTGAACATGATTGCCACTCAATTCTTCTTTTACAAACCACAGCACCCAAAAGGAGAGAGAGAACAAAGGGGAATGAATGCCCTGCCACAGAGGCGGGGTGGGATGGGGGGATGGGGGGTGGGAGGGATACTGGGATCAGTGGTGGTGGAGAATGGGCACTGGTGGAGGGATGGGTACTCGATCATTGTATAACTGAAACCCAAGCACAAAAACTTGTAAGTCCACAACTGTACCTCATGGTATTTCACTAGTAAAAATTAAAAAAAGACATCTCCCAGAAAGTGGGTCTGTGACAAACAACCATATGTAACTGAAAGGATGGACCTATAACAACAAAAGTGTCCAGTTACATGCTCCTCAAGGCGCCTGGCAGAGACAAAGCAGGGGCTAGAGAAAGAACTCTGTTAGCCATAATCTGGCAGGCAGGAAGATGGGGGCTCCTGTCTTTGATAGCCACCTTGCCCATGTGGTCAGTCACAGAAGCAGTTTCTACAGGAAAAGAGCAGAGAAGTCTTCTTTCAGATACCACACAGGGGGTGCCAACTGATCAGTAAAAGTTCGTGATGGCTGGTCGTCTGAGACAAATTTCAACGTATCGTAAATCAGAGAATCTGATTAAAAGTGCAGCCCACACATTATCTTCCCTGTAATAGCTTTTTATTTGAGAGGGGGGATGTGGGGAAGGGCAGACAAGATAAAGGAAATGTTCTTTTTATTCTCAGAAGCCTCTGCTCAGAGAAATTTCCTGGTTTAAATTTTTTTCTTTGGGTTTTGGGTCCATACTTGTTCTGTGCTCGGGGTCACTCCTGGCCATGCTCTGGAGACCATGAGCTGCTGGGGATTGTGCAAGGGACACCAGCAGATGCTCCAGCCTGTGGAGCTGGCTTCCTGGCTTAATTTTGTCATTTTGTTCTGTTTTAGCTCTGAATTATGGCAATGTAAAAGTTTCTCTCGTTTTGTGTATTTTTCTTTTCCCTTCCTGACTTTTAACACAATGCATTCGTGGCTTAGATTGTCACCCACCTCTAAACTCCCATAACAAAGACTAGATTATTCTATTTGAACTAAAGAAGATAAATAAAAGGATTGTGAGATAAAAGAGGAAAATCAATTTGCGAATACTTTCAGGTACTGGTGCCCAAGCTGAGAACTCCGGTGTTTTTTTTTTTTTTTTCCCAGAGTAGAAGTGGGTAGCCCCGGTCGCCAAGACTCCATTCTTTGAAAGCCCCGGCAGCCAGGTCCACCCACCACCCACAGCCTGTGTCTTGCAACTCATCGGTTTAGATCCTGAAGTCTCTGGACCGCACGGTGTTGGACACCTCCTAAGGCAACAAACAGCTCAATAAATTCTTGCACAAGGACTTAACAAGCCTGGGATCAGATGTGACAATTTTCATATAGACTGCATTCTCAAATCTATTGATTTTAATACTGCAGCTATGTTAGCAAATTAATTTCAATTCTCTAATTGTAGCAACAGTAGCAACAGTTGTGGCTTTTTCTACATTGAATAAAATTAAAAAAATTTTTTTTTGGAAAATCTAGGATTCTGTGAAAGATGGAATTTCTTCACTTCTACACAAGTTTAAAAAATTTGAAAATGCTTGGGCCTGTATGAAATATATAGATCAAGATTTTACTGGCTACTTTAAAATGACCAAAAATGAATCAATAGAAAACCCTCCTTTAAAAAAAAATGAATCACTGGGAGATGCACAGTTATAAAGCTGTTAATGATCTGATTTAACCATACAGTGTTCCAACACCCATACCTCCACCAGTGCACATTTCCCACCACCAATATCCCCAGTTTCCCTCTAGACACAGCTCCCACTCCTCAGCCTGCTTCAATGGCAGGCACTTCTCACCTCTCTCTCTCTCTCTGTCTCTGTCTCTCTCTGTCTCTCTGTCTCTGTCTCTGTCTCTGTCTCTCTCTCTCTCTCTCTCTCTCTCTCTCTCTCAATCTCTCTCTTCCTCCCTCCCTACCTGTCTCCCTCTCACTTCCTTTTGGGCATTATTATTTGCAGTACAGGTACTGAGAAGTTATCATGTTTGGTCCTTTACCTACTTTCAGCACGAAGTTCTTATCCAGAGGGATCATTTCCAATCATCATTGCCATAGTGGTCCATTCTCTATCCCAACTGCCTTCCTTCCCAGCACTTGAGGCAGGCTTTCAATTGTGGACCAATCCTCCTGGCCCTGGTTTCTACTGTCTTTAGATATTTGTCTCATACTGTCAAAACTGTCTTCTGTTTTTGATGACTGGTTAAAGAAACTTTGGTACAACATCTACACAATGAAGTACTATGTAGCTGTTAGAAAAGATGAAGTCATGAAATTTACATACAAGTGGTACTACATGGAAAGTATCATGCTAAGCGAAATGAGTCAGAAAGAGATGGATAGACATAGAAAGATTGTATTCATCTGGGGAACATAAAGAAACAAAATAGGAGACTAACACTCAAGAATAGCCGAGATAAGTACCAGGAGGTTTACTCTATGACTTGGGGCCAGCCGCACATGCTAGGGGAAAAGGCAGCTCAGATATAGAAGGGAGCACCTAGAAAAGGGTGTTGGGAGGATCCTCCCAGGATGGGAGATGCATGCTTAAAGTAGACTATAGGCTGAACATGATTGCCACTCAATGCCTCTTTTGCAAACCACAGTACCCAAAAGGAGAGAGAGAACAAAAGGGAATGCCCTGCCACAGAGGCGGGGTGGGATGGGGGGATGGGAGGTGGGAGGGATACTGGGATCAGTGGTGGTGGAGAATAGGCACTGCTGGAGGGTTGGGAACTCGATCATTGTATAACTGAAACCCAAGCACAAAAATATGTAAGTCTACAACTGTACCTCATGGTGTTTCACTAATAAAAATTTAAAAAAATCTTCTGTTTTCTTCTTTTTATGTCATTTCATCTTTTAGTTCTGTTCACAGCTATGGATCACCCCACAAAATTTGCCTATCATCCTTGTGCAGGGCCATGCTGATTTCTGTAGTGTTCCAATTTTAGTCTCTGTGCTGCCAAAGCAAGCACAGGTTTGTTTTTTTTTTAAACATTTGAATTCATTTCTTAATTTCATTTTGAAAATGTTGGGTAGGAGACGGGGCTGAGGGGGTAAGCCCTGAATTCAGAGCACGTGGTGTGGGACTCCTTATCAAGGATTTTCCCTTTTCCTTCCTCCCTTAGGTAGAGGATTTGACAAAGGCCAAATAGAGGCAAAGATTTCAAGGGGCTCTCACCTTAATGCCCCCCTACCTCCACCCAATCTGACCACTTGGGTGATCCAGGCTTCAAGTGCTTCTGAACTGCCTAGTCTGCATCAAAACGTTAACGATCCCATGTACCACCCCCTTGGGTTTCTGTTTGTTTGTTTGTTGTTGTTGTTTTGTAGTATTTTACTCAGGCACCATGATTTACAATCCTGATCATGAGAGGGTTTCATGTATCCACCAGAGGGTCCTCTTTCCTCAACTACTGTCTCAGTGACTCTGCCCCCTCCCTTTCTCCCTGCCGCTTTAAGCTCAGTTCTGTAGAGCTGCTCTTAGTTTTATTGCCTTTCCCAATTTGTTATTCCCCTATGTTGTTTCTTTATATCCCATGTATAAGGGCGCATTCTGTGTCTGTTTCTCTCTGATTAACTTCGCTCAGCGTGATATTCTCCAGATCCACCCAGATAGCAGTAAATAGCATGATTTCATCTTTTCTTATAGTTGAGTGGTATTCCTTTGTGGGCATACACCACAAAGTTTCTTTATCCAATCATCTGTTCTTGGACCTTCGGGTTGTTTCAGACTTTCTTCACTTAATCACTTAACTTCCCGTTAGTCGTCGATTTGTTCGAGCGGGTGCCAGTAACGTCTCCATTTGTCCCTGTCGCGTGCTAGTGTAGCCCAATGGCATCTGTTCGCTCCGGGAACATGAAGGGCCTCAAACCGATCATTCATGATCTTGATGAAGAAGTCTGACCATCTGGTAGGTGGGCGGCCACGCGGTCTTTTGACATCCCGTGGAATCCAATCAGTAACAGCTCTAGTCCAACGGTCGTCTTTAAATCTCATTACGTGACCAGCCCATCTGATTTTCGACACCTTGGCAAATGAGACAGCGTCCCTGATCCTTGATCATCGACGGATGTCAGAACTCCGGATTCGTTCTCTCATTTGAGTGAAACGTGATATTCCAAGCATAGCTCTTTCTATTCTTCTTTGGGAGACCTGAATGGCGTTCTCATCTTGTTTGCGTAGGGCCCAGGTCTCTGAGGCATATGTTAATGCAGGAAGAACAGTGGAATCAAAGAGATGTGCCCGGAGCCGGAGGTTCTTCGTCCTCTTAGCTATTTCTTCGACGTTCTTGAAGGCGTTCCAAGCCTTAAATAGAACTGCAATGAACATAGGAGTACAAGCGTCTTTTTGGAAGAGACTTTTGGGCCCTTGGGGAAGCTGCTTCTGAGAGGTGTGGGTCGTATGGAAGGTCCATTCTTGGTGTTTTGAGAAGTCTTCATACTATCTTCCAAAGATATTGCCCTAGTAGATGAGGATGCTTTTCCCCCACAGCCCTGACCCCTGGTCTTTCTGACTCCTGCGCTAGCGGTGCCTAATTGAGGAAAAAACAAGCACCAAGAAAGATACACAAGCCTTGGAAAGCCTCTGTCTCAAGTGGAGATCCTAATGGTGAGCATTCCAAGTCCTCTGAGGATAAGGTCTTCAGAGAGGTTTTGGGAAGGGATCTCATTCCATTGGGCTGCCCATGTTGCTGGTCCCTCTGAAGAATATTTTCATCTCAGTTCTTTCTTCAGTTGCAGGGCCAGTCATAGCCATGTGGTTGTTTAACCACCAGGTGGCAGTGTCGCCATTTCCCTGAGTCCTCCTGACACCACTGGGCACTGGACTTGATGTAGTAGAGGAGTGACCCATCCCTGTCACCCAGACAAGCTGGAAATGGCTGTTCCCCCTCACTTTCCCTCTTCCTGGAAACTGCGGCAGCATTTAGGCTGCTAAGTCCCCGTCTTTCAGAACCATCCTTTACTGGGGGCTTGTTTTGTTCCAGGTCCTTCTATACATATCCTAACTCCTTTGCTCCCCCCAAAGGCCTCTGTGGGGCGGGAGAGAGAGGGCAGGAAGTGAAGCATGTGCCTTGCATGCAGCGGTGGTGGATGGGACCCTGGTCCAACCCCCACGGTGTCACAAATGGTTTCCAGAAGACCACCCAGGCGCACCATGCACAGCTGGGTGTAGTCCCCTTCCTGAAAGAAAAGAAGCAGATGCTATAAAACTTCTTATTCTGCAGGTGAGGAAATTGAGAGGCCAAGAAGGGAACATGGTGAAAGTCACTCAGCAGAGTGGGGGTTCCATCCCAGGCAGAGAGGCGCAGAGACTCTCTCCTGGGGACCACAGCCATGTCGACTCCCTGAGACTACCCCTAGTGACAGCCCTGAGCGGAGACCCAGTGTCCAGAGAATAGGAAGATGGGAAGAGATAGGAAGAGAAGACGCTGCCTGCAGAATGCCAGCACCGTGAGCCAGGGACCCGGCTTGTGGGGACATTTTCCACTAGACCCCACGTCTCCTGTGTCTCAAGGCCGGAGCTGACATCAGGCCCCCCAAATCCTTCTCCTCTAGATCAAAGGAGACCCTGTACCCTGGCTTCCTAGAATGCGGGACTGTTTGCTAGTTGACACCTTGAAACCCTTGCCCTCTGTGGCTGCCCATCCGGAAGACTTATCTTTGAGGCCCTCTTTGCTTGCCCCTGCACTCTGGGTGGACATAGCAGGGGGCCTCAGAGTGCCTTCTGTGTGAGGTTTGTCATCTGGCCTCGATCATAGGCTCCTCCTCAGTGCCTCTGTCCTTCTCCTGTCACAGCTCTCTGGGCTGGAGCTCCCTGTGGGGATCACACCAGGGCGGGCTCTCGGGGTTCAAGCCAGGACAGAATGTCGCCCTTCAGGCTTCCTCCTCATGGAGCCCTGGGCATAACCTGGAGGAGAGTACAGCGCTGTGACCACAGTGGGTATTACAGGACAGCAGGGCCTGGGCAGGACTTGTTGATTTGGGGCAGCCGCCAGACAAGCACGTGGCTGTGAGTTCCATCCCAGGTAGGGCCACAGGTGCTCAGCACGTGTTTTGGCAGTTCTACTTACTGCCTGTGATCCCAGTACCACCACGAGCCATAGCTGGCAGCACCGTGGCCAGTTGTGTGCAAGCACCACAACCAAAAACCTACAGGCAGGGTGAGCACTGGCATTAAGAGCATGGCTCCAGGGTCGCAAAGTTCCACCGGTGGCAAGCACAGCCACAAGCACCACAGTGACCACTGGGTGAGTGCTACATTTGGGAAGTGAGCAAGCATCGCAGTTAAAGGAGGCATCAGCAATGGCCAAGCACCAGGATGAAAGGAAAGGGGTTGCAACCTCTGGCAACCCTGTCCCCTGGCATGGCACCCCAGAGAGGTGCTTTTTAGTGGGGCATGTGCGTGGTCAGTCCCAGTTATCCTGACAACAAGAGCAGTGAGAGCAGGGGGAAAGTAGTTAAAGTGTTGATCTGTCCTCGAACTCACACCTGCCTGTCCTATAACCTGTCACTGTCACTGTCCTCCCGTTGTTCATCAATTTGCTCGAGCGGGCCCAGTAATGTCTCCACTGTGACAACTGTTACTGTGTTTGACATATCGAATACGTCACGGGTAACTTGCCAGGCTTCACCATGCGCGCGAGATACTCTCGGTAGCTTGCCGGGCTCTCTAGAGGGGTGGAGGAATTCAAGCTGGGTTGCCTGGGTCAGCCGCGTGCAAGGTAAATACCCTACTTGCTGTGCTATAGCTCCAGCCCCTATAACCTATTCTTGGGATTTCAACCAGAGCAACGAACAGCAGCATCCACAAAAAAGCGTTTGCATCAGAAAATTCATTATGAGCTTGAAACTGGGGACAGATCAGATGTTCCCCAGTGGTGAACAGCGTAGCCAGGAGGAGAGCATCAAGGGCTGCAGTGCATGCTCTGCAATCTTGTGTCCTGAGTTCAATTTGCACCCCAGCACTGCTGAACCCCATGAGCACCCTGGAGGGTGACCCCAGAGCGCTGATGCAGAAGCAGTCCCCCGCATACAGCCAGTTGTGGCCTCCCAAACAAGCAAACATACGAAGAAGGAACAGGGGCATGGATAGATGCTTTATGCTGTACTCACAGGAGGCAACACGACAAAGCCAGCAACGAATAACTCACTCATTAGTGAAGATCTCACAGACATAAAGAAAGAATCTGGACTCACGAGGTTTGTGTTCTAGGACTCTGTGTATTTGAAATCCTAGAAATGCAAAGCCGATGAACGGATAGTTAGAAAAGCAGAACGTTTGTGGCTTCAAAGTAGGGCTGGAGGAGATGAGGGAGAGAGAGAACCCCTGGAAATTTCTCTACTCCAGCCTTGAGACAGCAGACAGGAGGTGGAGTGAGGGTAGGGAGATGGGAAGCAGGTGTTTTTCCAGGGCTCTGTATTTCTAAGGTCTTGAAAGTTCCAGAGATTAGTGTAGCTGGCATAGCGCCAATCAGTTCAGAGCTCTCTCTCCCAATCCTGCTTTGCTGCAAAATGAGGCCATGTAGCTAAGAGATGGTCTTATATTTCTTTATGGAAGCGTGTGGGAGGGAGAGCCCATCCTTATTTTCCCCTTGGGATACATATGTGATGGTTGGGGATTCAGCAGCCCTATTTTACTACAATTTTGAAATTTAAGTCTGGAGGTATTTGGAAAAGCTCCCCTTAGTAGAGCTGTCAAAGCCATCCTGGCTAGTTTATCTCTGACATTACAAACAAAACACAATCAGAAGGGAATAGTATAGGAGGTGAGGTGCTTGTCTTGTAAGCAGCTGTGGAGGCCGTGACCCAGATTTGAATCCTTGGCACCACATTAAGTTCACTGATCAATCACCAGGGGTCACTCCAGACACAGCCAGGAACAGTTTCTGAGCATGGCTGGTCTTGGCTCCCCCAACAAACCCATATGAAAGCAGATTTCAGTGTGAGTTTCAGGCGCTACGACTCGGCATTT